TCCCCTATACTCCCTTCACAAATCCGGTTTCAGGAGTCTATCTCCTATCCCTCCCAAACCGTGAAAGTACAATCCCCTATCTCTCCCAACAACTATCGATATCAAAACTGTATTTCATTAAGCACTATATAATAAGCAGTGATAAGACGAAACGCATAATTCAATGTGTCATTCCTTGCCATCATATTCAATGAACACTACTACTTAGATTAATTTTAATTCACCATTCTTAGCAGGTTCTATTCAACAATTAGGATTATCCAATACCACCAGATAACCGCAAAACAATTATTTCTAAAAACAGATAAATTATCTACAATTTCAAAGCTGAGTGATTAATCATCAACCCCACCCTTAAATCTAATTAAATACCAATTTCATTATTTTCAATACAATTCATATTTCATAACTTTTCAAATTAATTATACAAATTTAATTCATCACAATAAATTAGGGCCTTCTCCCCTTTCTCAACATTGACCCAATTTCAATTGATATCATCCAATAAGCAGTCAATAACCTCATTTAAACCCCAAATACACCATGTATGGCAAAAGAACAAAAATTCCACTCTTTACTACATTTTCCAAACCCTAAACAACCAAAATTTACTCAAACTGTAACATTTAATACAAGATGACCACATGCTTATATGTCAAGACCAATAAATATGAATAGTTATTCCTACCTCCTCTAAGTTTCGGAGCTTCAAGGAGAAGATGAAGAAACTCGAAGGTCGCTCCATACCACAAAGATTTTGGGATCAAAACGTAGCCCCCCAAGCTCTATATTTTTACAAAGGGACAGGGTAGAAGTGAGATCACACAAAACTTAGATGATTTTTCGAAGAGAGAAGTGTAGTCTTAGAGTAAGAAGGCCTCAAGTTGGGTTTTGAAAAGCTAGAGAGAAGAGAGATGAGGGGTCGAAAAAGTTGATTAAAAAATAGCTTCCCACGAACTGATATACCACACAGCTCGCTTCTTGAGCGTGGAACGCCCCGCTCGAGCGTCAGACATAGACTCCCGCTCGAGCGTGAAAAGCGACGCTCGAGCGTCGAATGCACATTTCCAGAAGTTCTGCAGACGAAGGTCCTCGCTCGAGCGTGAAAGTGGACACTCGAGCATCCGATGACCTGCAGGAAATAAAAACATTGAGGGTTGAATAATCACGCTCGAGCGGAGGAGCAAAAACAGAGGGGCCAGCTCGAGCTTGAAAAGCCCCGCTCGAGCATGGAGGCCAAAATCTGGGCATCAACTCTTGGTTTCTAGACACAACCAACCTGTTTTAAACCTGCCCAACACATCCCGAACTCAAGTACAAAGAATTAAAGGACGGAGATGCGATAAAGACACAACACACATCCATGGAACTGAGTCCGAACTACAATAAACACTAAAGGGAAAACCGGGATCGCTATAATAATATTTCTTATGTTCATTGAAATATTTCTTTCTCATATCTATCTTTTGTCAAAAAACGGTTAGCTTAGTTATATCTTAGAGATGTTTTAGCGGTCGACCACTCGGTGGATGAATTATTTTGATGAAATTATTTGTTGGTTGTATAGAGCTTGACTTTATGAAATATATATTTTTTGTTTGCTTTTCTATCTATTTGTCCACTTTAGGGATGCAATTATATATTTGTTGACTTTACTACTACATATATTTCTACTCATTTGCACTCTTTGCCAAATTGGGGTAATGTGGCATACCTAAAAAATTCAGGATTTATTAATTTGTAAGAAAAATTGTAAGATTTATTAATATTTTCTTCTGATGTTGTTAGAGTCAGATTATGTTACCAATACCTGAAAATTTTAAACTTATTCATTATTTTTATTTAATGTTTGGAGTCAAATTATTGTTTTCAAACTGTGTAGATGTGCAAATCTTTTGTTATTTGTTAATTTTAATAAATGGATTCTACGAAGCAAAGTAGTAAGTAATTGATGTGTTTTATTGATAGTTTCAGTTGGAAACACAACTCATATTGATAAATTGTTTAATTTTAGTAAACTTTGGTGGCGAAAAATGATTGGTAGGTTATTAATTAGCTAAGAAACATGGATATGAATATGTGACACGACACGAATACGACACGAAAATGCTGACACATTAATTTTCAAAAAATGCAGGACACGACACGTGGGGGACATGCATGAAATATATAATTTTCTGTGATGACTCAGAAAAAAAAAGAATAAAAATAAATAAATATAATATATATATATATCTTTGGTGGTTAATATTGAAGGCACTAGTGTATGGGGCTGTCCACTATTTTTATATATGAGGGAAGATGCTTCTTGATACAAAAAGGGTAGCACACAATGATAAAAGAAAAGAGGAGGTGCAGAGTGGGTGTTAAAGGGTGTTTGGTGGGTGGAAAAATGATTTTTTAAAATACAATATATATTCCTCTCTGGGTGTTCAATTCGGTGGAGAATTATTATGTTAGAGGGAGAGTGAGTTGGTGGGCTATGCACCGAGAGAATGAAAAAGGAATAAAAAAATGGGTTATGTGTAATGGGGTATAATGAGTGGGAGGATGGGTTTGTCAATTATTATGTCTCTTCTAAATGCTCTGGGCTCTGAATCTCTCTGCCTTTATTCACCTGTTTGAGCCACTAGAGAGAGAGAGAGGGAGAGAGAGAGAAAATCTGGGTTTGTTTGTTAACTCAGAAAGAAGGCCAAGGAAGGGGGTGGACAAAGGTAGAAAGCGATGGGAAATAATAGTAAGGGTTTATCAACAGATCAGCAGCGTGGTCATGGCGGCGGTAGTGGTTGTTGGAACAATCTTCTGTGTAAATAAAATGAATTGAAATAATTCAAACAAAATAATTAAATAACATACCGAATTTATTTCGTCAAACCAAATAAAAATTACAAGACCAAGTTAAGTGTGTGACACTCTGTCCTTAAGACAGATTCGCCCCGCTACGGTACTTACGGTTGAGTGGCGTCTATCTCCCAGGATACAATGATCTTCACAAATTGTAGTAGTACTCCAAACAATTTGTTCGGCGAACCAAACCTATGTTCTAACTCTCTGAAATTTATTCCTAAATTATAAATGAAGATTAATGCACTAAAGAATCTGGACAGCAAAGAGAGAAATTTCAGACTCCAAAATTACGGATTCAAGACTGCTGGAATCAGGCAATATATATAGGCAAAGACATTAGCCCCGAATAGGTACAATCTGAAAAAGCACTGTTTGACCGTTGCAAGACCAAATATTCAAACAATCCTGTCCGTTGCTTTATTTCAAAAAATTTGAACAAAGTTCCGTTGGATGGAACAGATTTCAAACAATTGGAAATATATAATTATAGAACTATTTAAATAGTTTTATTAACCAACCCAATTAGAGAACAGTGTTTACTAACTGTTTTTAAACTATTTGAATAGTTTAATTAATAAAGGAAAAGGTACAAATTTAAAATTAGAATTTAGAATTAAATTAAATTCCCATAATTACAAACTTTAGGAGTGGCGCGTTGTTTCCGAGCATGTGGTTCGAATTGCTGGTAGCGAGGTGCATAGTGACATTGTTTTGCTTCAATTCAAAAAGTTAGGGTTTATGAATCTCTTTTTGATTTGTCAAATTTTGAATGTGAAACTTGTCGACCTAGGATTTGGAGCGTTCGAAGTTAGGGCAATCTGATGAGAGAACTATTTATGAGGTAATGGATGTGTTCTTAGGAGTTTAGTTTTTTGTGGTTCGAATCAGTGGAAATGAAGGTGATTTTCTGTTTTGTTAAGGTGCAGCAGGGAAGAGAGCCGGCTGATGTTGACTTCTGTTCGATTACCATTGATGGAAGTTCGGACAATAATATATTGCAGCAGCGGCTTCACAGTGTTGCGAGCCAACGAGAGGAGCTGCAACAGATGGAGATTGAGCTTCGAGCTCAAATCATTGTGGGATCGGAGATCATGGAAATGCAGAGCAGCTTTGATGCTCAGGTTAAAGAGCACACCAATGCCAATGTCAAGCTTCAGGTTTGTATTGTCGCTTTTCAGAGAGTGTGTTTGTGTTTGTATATTATGTCCATTTATGAATTTAATTGTGGCTTTTTATCACTATATATAATTTTTTCCTGTTGTGAAGGAGGAACTACATGAAATGGAAAAAACTATACATGAGATAGAGAGGAAGATGGAAGAGAAAGATAGAGAGCTACATGCAATTAAATTAGACAATGAAGCGGTTCGTAAGCATTTTTTTGCTATAATTGTATATTGGTATGTCATTGTAGCATGTGTTGATTCACATGTTGAATGCAATAATTTTTCTCTATTTTGGTAGGCATGGGCTAAGGAAGATCTCCTTAGAGAACAAAACAAGGAATTGCAGACCTTTCGGTATGTGTTTCGGTCCCAAAGATTGCTACTTTAAATGTAGTCTGTTCAAGTATCGAGATCTTACATTTGGTCATTTGAAGGGTGATGCAGAGTATAAGAAGCTCAATGAAGAGTAAATTCAAAGAAGTTGTGATATTTGGAAATTGACAAGATTTCAAAGAAAAAAAGTGATAGGAACCATTCATAATTATGTTTCTAGTATTATTGGAGTCTTATTTTATGATTAGTTTATATTTTCTAGGATTTTTATATCAAGGGTATTATGGTAAATTTTATATTTGCTGACATGGGTTGTGGGGGGTTGTTTATAGGGTCATCTTGTGGGTTAAGTTTCTAATGTAGTGTTAAAATGATTTTAGAAGTTTCTAATATCATGAAATACTTCATGAAAATTTTTCATCATTTGATTAGTGTGGTGTTTTATTGTATGCGTAATTTAACGGAGGAGAATCTTTTGTGATCATCTTCATGATATTTTTTTCATGATTCCTAACATTATTCGGTTGGTTATAGTTGATTTAGGAAGTCTCAAGTTTATATAAAGTCATGTAATGATTATAATTGATAGAGTTGATATTTTAAAAATTTTTGAGAGTTTTGAAGCTGCTTTGGGTTTGTGTGATGCAACCCTAACCCTAGGTGTGATGCCCATGGAATCTAGGTGCGATGCCTAGACATATCTTCTTCTCTTCTTTCTTCTTTTTTGTTTCAATTTAGTGTTTCCGGATTATTATTCACAGCTCTTTAAAAGTGTACTTTTCAACTCAAAACTCGTTCCAATCACCTCCAAATCAACCATAATCCCTTTCCGTACGTATCTCCCTACCTATTAGCCTTCAATTTAACCCTTGAAACCCTAAATTACTCACTGTTTAGGCCTTCAAATCAAACAACCTTTGTTTTCAAAATCCAGCGCTGTCACTGCTTGTTTTGCATCAACTGAATCAATAAAAATAAATAGGCTCCATTACATTATAGCAGTCGAGAAATTTTCCTAAAAATAAGAAAAAAATGCATATTGACTTTTATATCAAAAAATGTGTCTTAAAAGTAGTAAGAACATAAACTTAAATTATAATGAAAAGAAGTGAAAGTATTGTGAAAATAGAATGCACCATGTAAGTATAAACATTGTACAATAGAAAGTTTGGTAGTAAAAATTTTATATTTCATAAAAAAATAGGTATAGAAGAAGAGTTTGTAACATAGCACTTGCACTTTACAATAGTAGCACAGAAAATTGAAGGCAACAAATTGTAAGCTAGGAAGGACAAATACGATAGGACAAAACTTTATAAAAGTAGGATATGGGTATGGATAGGATACGTTTGTAAAAAAGTTATTTTTAAACTGTTAGTAGTGAGTTACACATAAGCTCATGAATGTTAAGAAATCACATTGTAATTTTATAATGCAAAATACTAGTATTTAAGAACTAGGTCTTAATTTAAGTCATTAGCTAGTGTATTTCTTAAATTTCAATAGGTATTACAAATATTTCATTTTAATATCAAGTCCAATATATTTATATTACAATAGCAGAATAATTGACATGAACTTGTCCATGTACTTTTCCTTTTTACACTAGTAAAAATGTTGTATGCTAGTTTACTGGCTTATTTATTTATAGATATTTATTTTTACCTTTGTTATATTTGTTTGTTAATCCTTACTTTCTATGTAGTTATATGGAACATGCATGATACAATAAGATATGCCAATTTGACAAATTTTATTACTTTTAACTCAATATGTTCTTATTATCAAAGAACTAAGCAAAGTATTGGAAAAATATTATTATATTTATCCTCACAATTAAGGTATATCATAATACTATGCAGGAAATGTTACAATTCTAATTTTGTAAAACAAGTAATACTTGACTTGGAGTGTATGATGTTTCAAAAATTAGTATCCAATACTTCAAAATTAATGAAAAATTAAGAAGTATTCGATACTTTTAAGAAGTATATGGGAGTATCGGTATCCAATGCGGAAAGTATCCATGCCTCATAGATTTTTAGCAATGTTTATGTCAGAATAGATTGTTTGCTTTTGCTTTTAGTTTTGGATGTTTTATGAATGTTTGAGCACTTTTAGGTTAATAGGAATCTCTCTCTTTATTTATTAATTTACTTTAAGTTTTATTTTCATGCATATTACATTATTAAAAAAAAAAAAAAATTATGAATGTATCCCCGCTGTACCCGTATCATACTTTTTCAAATTTTGACATATCGCCATATCCACATCCCCATATCACCATATTCGTATCCGTGCTTCCTAGGCTATCATTGATGACTTAAAAAAGTATATTTGCTGAAATTTTTATTTAAGAATGGTTTTTTGGCTTTGGCTTTGGCTTTAGCTTTAGTTAAGGTCTTGTGATATTCACTGATGAAGGGGAACAAGTTGAAGCTATTGACCTTGAAGACTCTTAGTATTGTAGGAATCCTTCTTCTTTATCAAGTTATCTTTTGCTTTAAGTTTTATTTTTATGCATACCGCATTACTAAAAATTGTTAAAATAATATTTTTTACGAACGTATCCCCGCCGTACCCGTATCCTAGTTTTTCAAATTTTGTCGTATCGCCGTATCGTATCGTATCGTATCCGTATCCGTATCCCGTATCCGTATCCGTGCTTCCTTGGGGTTTATGGTTATTGTTTTTTAAAAAAAGGTTATGGAGTTGTGTTTGACTAACTTGATCAATGTGATATTCAAGCATATTTCATTTGTAGAAGTTATGTAAGCATCTTTAGATGTGTTTTGTTTTGTTTTTTTTTTTGGGAGGAAAAAAATGAGGGAAAAAAAAGAGGTAAGATCATGTTGGGTTTGACAGGATCTAATTGGATCCTATTTAAAACTCCGTGATAACTAAAATAACAATAAATCATGCATAAGTAGTGGTCATTTTCATACTAAACAGTTTTAAAAGTTGTATTTTGTAATTTATCAAAAAAAAAAAGTTCTATCATGTCATTTTCACTAAAAAAATTAAGTAAAAAAAGGTCGAAATCGGTTGGATACAATGATTTCAAGCATTGTATGAATCGAGAGAAGTGAATCGAATCATGAATCGATTGTGAATTGTGCGATTTATTATAGATTCAATCCCACAATAGATTCATCCATAGATTCGTCTTGATTTTTGAAAAATTGCGAATTGAATCATGAATGAAATCTCGAATTGTAGGATTATGATAACAGAGGATCCAATTATTAGGATTGAAAGATGGTACATGCAAGGGATTTTCTACATGATCCCATGTCAATTTTGTTCAAATGGATCATAAGATCCGGATCAGGATTTTAACTACTATGTGATGTATATTTGTGTTTGCACTCAAAATATTTTAACAGTTAGTATGAATTAAATAAATAAATTTATTCCATATGAGATGAAATGGCCTAACATTCTGTGTTTTTGCCTTCTTGCCATCCTAATATAGTAAAATACATGCAGCAACTATGGTTCATTGTTACACGGACTCTTCAAAATAGATCAAATACCCGTGTCGGACACCCGACACAGAATGTTAGGCCATTTCATCTCATATGGAATGAGATATGTGTCGGACAAGGGTATGAGATATGTGTCGGATATTTTTCAACGGATACTTCTTATATAATTGTATATAGCACAATTATTATATGTGCATATTATTGTATAATTACTATAAATGTCATTTTGATATTGTAAGTTACATATAGTACCATTTTATCTCACATATTAGATTAAAAATATAAAAATATGATATTTTTTTTCCGAGTCCGCGTACCCTTAAATTTAAGATTTAATGAGTCCGACCTATAGATACATACCCGCGCCCGACACCCATATCCAAGTCCATGTAACATAGGAAACAACTGTTTGTTTCAGTGCCAAAGTTCATGCATAGTTGACGGTATTGAACCTAAAACATAGGAAAGCCAATTGAAAGAGTTGAAATGATGATGATGATTTTCAAATTTTGTAGAGAGCTATTCGTTCCCCACACGCTTTTACTGATCCGAAGAGGAGTCGACCAACTCGGAAAGTGTTAAAACAATCGATGGACCACTCTCTAATCTCAGAACTGGAATCACCAGTGATTACAAACAATTCTTTTCCTAGAGTCGAACCCTTCACTTTCATGGCTAGCCTTTGCAACAACTTAAGTGGTTGGAGATAGTGGCTGAAAACCAATACCTTCTCCCCACCTGATTCGCACAAGCCTGACAAATTAAGGAAGAAGTTTGCCTTAAGTCCTTCTTTAATATCCAACTTCTCTAAGATGTGATCCATCCAGGCATCGTCAAGCCCCTCTCTTTCTGTGGTTGACGTGTTTGTAGGTGAATTTTTTAAGAGAGATCTCAGCTATGCGTGCACATAAAGTGTGCTCCCATCCCAACTAATTTTGAAATTCTTTACTATGTTCTTCAGTTCTTCAATTTCACGCTTATGTGTAGGGCTGAGGCGAAGAAATACAGTAAAGTCAACAAGCCCAGACAATTCATGAAGAAAATCTTATTCATAGAAATGAAGAACCTTACCTGTTATTGCACGCAACTCTTGAATGATAGTTACCTTTGTCTTGAAATTATCATATTTCTATTGAATAGCAGTTAAATTTCAAGAGAAAGGTAGTTGTTATTCAGGAGTTGCAGGCTGTCTGGACTTTATTGAGCAAGTTCAGGACATCCATATTTTCATTTTTGGGAGTACGACCTTCGTTCAGAATGGATGGGTACATTAACAGTTTTTGTTGGCAGGCAGCGGTAGTCTTGTTTGTTTCATTGTCACATACAATTGAAGAAACTTGCCTGTACGCCAGGAAAAGTACTTTTCTTTGATCTGCCCATTGTTTGAGCACCTGAAGGTGCTGTGCTCGATTATCCGCTTTGACAGAGTAAAAGTCATATAGCGGAATGTCCTCAACTTGCCATGTGAAGAACTCTTTCTTTCATGTGGCTAGAATGCCTCTTGGCAACACCACCAGTGGTTTAGCATGGGGATACTTGGCCAGAAAACTCTGCATAAATGTAATTATCATGAAAGTTTTTCCAGAGCTTAGAGCGTGGGCTAGGATGCAGCCATCTGGATTCTTTGCAACCAAGTTGCTCAGTAGGAAATTGAAGCCCTTAACTTGATGGGGTTTCATCTGCTTTTTGTGCCTGGGATGAGCACCAATTTCAGTGATAGCAGAATCCTATCCAGATAGTTTAACCCCGTCATGAAATAGTT